TTTTTTTCAGTTCTAGTTTAATATAGATATGTCTTAATAGAAAGAAAAATGTCTTAAATAGGAATAGGAAGAATCGTTTCCTACTGACTAGCTTAATCAACTGATACTTTGACAGTGAATATTGATGACATGATCACATATCTTTTGTTACATAATTTTTTTCAGTTTTAGTTTAATATAGATATGTCTTAATAGGAAGAGAAATGTCTTAATAAGAATAGAAAGAGTTGTTTCCTACTGACTAGCTTGATCAACTGATACTTTGACAGTAAATATTGATGACATGATCACATATCTTTTGTTACATAATTTTTTTCAGTTCTAGTTTAATATGGATATGTCTTAATTGCGTTGAAAAATCAATTTTTTTTTTGTATGAGCAGTATGAAGGCATGAATTTAATTATTCTTTTTTAAAAAAATCCATTTTTTTTTTTTTTTTGTTTACTTCTTTGGTGTTTTCTGTTTGTTTGTTTCAAGACATTGAACAGTCCAGTGTGAAGCTGTTTGGCTAAAGTAGGATTCATGTTTACATTTTAGTCTTGCAGTGACCCATCTTTATCTCCTAAGTATTGGTCTACTGCCCTACAGTTTTATTGCAATGTTTTGTCATTTAAATTGGTAGTTGGACCCCCAACTCAGAAGAAATGAGTGAGCAAAATTGAGAAATGTCCTTATCTTTCTGGAAGGAAGTTCTTTTGAATATTTTCAAGTTATGATAGGATTAGGAAAGGTAAAAGGGCAAACATTTAAATATGTAAAATTTTAAGAGAAAATTATATGTTGGTGAAAATTTTTTTTGATGTTAAATGCTAATAGTGTAAATGAATTTGACATAAATCAACTTTGTGCTGATTTAAAGTTAGTTAAGTGAAGATGCTATAGTTAGATGAAGATGATTAAATCACTAAATCAGGCTGTATTTAGTAGTTGAAGGATAGATTTATTATCTAATGTCTAGGAGAATTCAAATGATCCTGTCTTATATGGACCATCTTCAACATTTGGGAGTAGAGTGGGGCCATCTAGTAAATTATTTTGGGTATAATAGCAAATTGTTAATAGCAATTAAAGTCAATTTGCCATCATAGGGTTCACCAGGCCTACCTTTTAAATATTGATTTTTTTCTTTGTCTTTCTTTCTTTTTTTTTTTTTTTGGTTAAATGTTACTTATGATCAAACTTCAAAGGAGGCAATTGCTGTGCATGTAACAGTTGATCACGTCTGTGTATTTCAGTTGGGAGAGCATATGAAGTTGCTAACACCTTCTGACTTCTGGTTGGCTTATCAAACTATAGACCAGAAGCAACCTGCTGAGCTTTGCAAGTTTCTTCTTTTGTTGCAAGTGGAGACAGAAGTGCTGGGGCCCATGGAAAACTAGAGAAAAACGCAACACAATAAACAAAATGATGCTTCTGATTTTTTAAATCATTTGCATATATTTAGTTTATATCAAGTTTTGCTTATTGACAGACTATTTATTTACAGACTATTTATGGGAACCCAACTTCCTTTTTTTTGGGGGGGGGCTGTGGCTAGGTTTGAACCCCCCACCTCCGGTATGTGGGACTGTTGCCCTACCCTTTTGAGCCACAGGCACTGACCCAGGACCCAACTTTCTTAAATATTTTTCACTGAAAATAAGAAAAAAAAACTCACGAGCCAGAGTCTCTTTAAGTTATAATTTTATTAATATTAGCTCAATCAAAAACATCAGTGATGGATGCACAATTTTTATACGAATTTTGGCAGAAAATTCAGGATGATAGTCTAAATGTGAACAATTAATTTGTAGACAAAATCAGCTTAAAAATAATGGCAAGTAATGATAACAGCACTTAAAGATTTTGGCATGTAGCTGTTTATAAACATTCATACTACACCCATATATTTCTTAATTTGTTTTGTTTTGTTTTAACCTGGCATTCTATTTCAGATATTCAGAGGAAAAAGATCCATGTATTTCTTCCACTTGCCCACTATTGCCCAGTGTTCTTAATTGAACTGATCTCTTGCTTCATCCTCAGAGGACAATACTTGGACCATGTATTTATTATAATATTAATTATAATTAATCTGAACAGAGACATTGAAAATCATAACTGCAGTTGCAACCAGAGGTTTCAGTGGATAGTTTGTTTCATATGTCAGATATATTTTCAACTGGGGTCATTTCTGGGAATAACTCAATTGAGTTTCCTATTCTCTTTAGGAATAAAAGTTCTCCCTTTGAAATTTTACTATAGCTTTTCTGATCTGAAAAAATGATCTGTCTATATCTAAGGCTTAAACTTTTCACAGCCAGGTTAACTTTCCAACACTAGACAAACCAGTGGGACAGAGCGGCTTGAGGCAAAGAATAAATTTTGTGCTAAAAAAATGGCTCTAAGCAGACTCCTAAGTGGAGTCAGAGAGGGACAGAGAGGTCAAGGGAAGCCCAAGTGCTACTTGAAACAAGGAGTGACCCTTTAAGGGTGGCTTGGGCACTGGTTGAGACTGCAGACACACTGCAATCAGAAAACCAACATTAGCCCAGACAGGATGTGTGAGTCAAGGATAGAAGCAGGGATGGAAACGTGGCATCCGGGCATTTGCAGCTTTCCAGTTGTCAGGCTCCACTTGCGGTCCCGGCTGCTGGTTGGAGCATCCTGGAAAGGAAACACAAACAGTTTAAATTGAGAATCAGGGCTAGCAACTCTCATGTGACTTTCCAAAAAGATGAGTGATGAAACTATCAGAACCCTTGGAAGTCTTAAATCTGCTGGGTCAGGGAACAGGAGAGGAATTCTTGGCACAAATGAACACAGAGCACAGGGACTCTGCCATATATGGATCTTTCAAACAAAGTTGCTATGATCTGAAAACTTGTGCAACTCAGACAGCTGTATTGAATTCCATTCAACACCAAAGTAGTACCTTAAGCCAGTTTATCTGGTTTGGCTTTGAAGTGGCAATAAAATCCAAGAAGCCTCCTGACCTGGGTCATTTCTAAAAAGAGTTGTTTTCTTTTAGCTTTTCCCATTTTAAGAGCAGTTACAGGTATGTGTGTGAAAGCGTGTGGTAAAGTGGGTATTGGCTAACATGGGAAATGTGAAAGGAGTCCAGGAATCCAGATTTATTGTAAGTTTGGGGTTTAAGCAATCACAGTAGGAAGAGTGGACATGATGGTGTCAAGTAAACACGAGTTGCAGCCAGAGGTGATATTCCAACATGTTTAGAATGTC